GGCAGTCTCATGCACCTGCATTTCAAAATGAATTTACCCCTAAATGAATACACAATAAGCCAAATAGCAAGTTTTATTTTCTTTAAATTATCTTAAAGTTAAAAATGTCTATATTTTTTTCTTTAAATTATCAAGCAACACTAGAAGGGAGAGACATTTAGAGCTATTATTTATATTCATGTATATACATGTATATGTATGTATGTATATACACACACATTATTTTTAAAGATATCCATAGATAAAACATAGATTTCTGCAGGAGATTATATAACACTAACCACCTTTATGACCCTTATGTTAAACTGTTTTTAGTGTACTTTTGTTCAGATGCAAGATGAAAAATCAAAACTGCTTGTCAACAGTTTTCTTATTTCCTTATTTATACTTTTCATTTATTTGAAGACAGTTATTAATTTGTCCCTAGTTAACTTAATGTGGAGATTACATAGCTTCAGTTTTTCTCATTATGTGCACCTTATTTTCCATCTTATTATTTAATAAGTCCACTGTTGGCCATTTCCAGTTTTTATATATTCTTTTAATTTGTTTTAGGAATATTTTATTATAGTGCATTAAGTAATTATCCAGCACTAGTATTATCTTATAATTTTCTTTCAAATTTTCTAGGAATGTTTAATAATTAACATAATTTATAAATTTTAAAGGCCAATTTTTCTTTGCTAAAATGATTTTCCATTTTCTTAGTTGCTCCATTCCTAAATCAAAATATTAGGCAGAAGAGAACCATAGCATTTATTTTGTAAAAAAAAAAATGTTTTTGAATTAAAAAAATGCCTTTAAACACCAATCCATAATGAAGGTTAATTAAAACTGTATATTTTTCCCTTAGCTATCAACAACTAGTTTTGGCATAGATTATTGGATTTATAATTAGATGTAATTTGACTTAATTAGTTGGCTATAGCTCTTAATTATGGTATACCTTTTCCCATTATGGCCACTGTAACAGCAGCTTAGGATAAACATTGATGATCCCCCTTGCCAGTGGGACTAGCTCTATCCCTTGGGTTATTTGTGTGATAATGAGAATGAGATTTCAGGAGCATGACAGACGGTCTAGGCATGAAATACTGTTTTGGCACAGCTCCCTTCACTGCTTTTGAAAAATGGCAGCTTATTCCACCAAAAAAAAAAAGTTTCATGTGGATTGTTATGATTTTGTTGAGGTTATCTATAGGGAGGAGTCAAAGAGAGACTAAGGCAAATATCCCCCCTGCCACCAAAAAAAAAAAAAAAAAAAAAAAATTGGGAAAGCTAAGTGTCTCTAGAAATTTCCTGAGATCTAAAATATTAACATGAGTTAACTAAATGTGCTTTGTTGAATAAAACAAGTCACACGTATACTCTGAATCCCTTTGTTTAAGAATTCCATGATGCTATTTCAGCCTCACTACCAAAATCTATTCTTAAAAGGGATGGTAGGAAAGAATGTTGTACTATTTTCGTGGCACATTGGATCTAAAATAAAGCAAGTTTGTTTGTTTCCTTTGGATAAAGTTGAAGCAACAGCAACCCTCAAAGAAAACATTTCAAAGGAGTTAGAGAAGACTGGTCCTTAGCTGTTGAATACTCACACATGTTAGATATCGGAGCACAGATCCGATGTGCCACACAAATAGTTTGGTGTTGAAAATAAAAGATATCCACACAGATTATATGGTAATTTGGTACCACTTCTCTTATTTGCAGACCAAATCATTCTTAGTCCATTTCATAATAGCCAATTACAGGTTACTCAAGGGACGTGGATCATGCAAATCAGCTCATATTTCACTGAGTGACTGTTTCTCGTGTGTTCTGAGCTATTATTTTCATTACAGTGCAGCACATGAATCCAACTCATCTGTACTGTAATTGCTATAAATCAAGCATTCGTTTGCCATTATTTATTGCCTACTATAAAGAGTTTTAATAATATTTAGAGGGCACTGCAATAAAAGCAATCATTTATTGTGTCTGCTTACAGGGTCACTCAAGGTTTTCAACAAAAGCCAATGTCATTTCCTAATCTTTTAATATTCATAAGGTAACATCACTTGCAAATGGTACATTATGATTTATAAACATTTCCTGGCCAGGAACATAAAAGCATCATTATAATTCCTTCTCAGGAAAAACAGTCAGATTCTGTGAGGCAAATAGCAACATAGGGTAAGAGCCCTGGGTTCTTAACTGGATCTTATTTCTCTTTGTCCATTGCTCTTGATCATACCACTTAAACTTAGGCTAACTGTAAATTACAGGGGGCTTGTCAGAGTCCTTCTGTAATGGAAGATCTGCATTAGTACTTACAAAGGAGGTTCTGACTTTCCTCTCTCATCTCAGTCATAACAGAAGTGGCATGGTGCAGTAGACAGCTCTGAAGAAAGAGGCACAGAGAGGTGCGATCAAGTTCTACTGACATCAATTACATGTGTGACCTTTGACAAATAAGTTAATCTATATAGCCTCCATCTTTTGTGTAAAATGGAAATAATAATACTTCGTCTACCTATTCAAAGGATCTTTGCAAGGACTATATGAAGGCCACATGTAAAGTATAAAGCAATCCAATTATTAATTGTAAACACGACCTTCTTGTGAGATAAAGAGAGATAATTTTCCTGCAGAACACCCTTCATAAAATTATTAAGGGCTGAAGAAATATATTACTTTGTACTTATCTAGAACAATCATGGAATCTCATTTCTTAGGCACTTACATCAACTATATATATCAGTGTTAAATTTTGTCTACCACACCCCTAGACTTTGCTTGGGCATCTCCAATGATGGGCAACACATGGCTCTTGTCAGTAACATACTAAGTCTGATAGTTCTCCCTAATTCAGTGCTAAAATCTATTTTATTTTGGGACAGATACAACAAGCCCAGTGTCTCTCTTTATCAGTCTTTCCTATATTTGAAGACAAGTACATGTCCTTCTCAAGTCTTGTCTTTTTCATATGAAATATTGCCAATTCTTTCAATAATTCTTTATGAAATTTGATGTCAAGTTGCTAGTATAGCTGGGTCAATGTATTCTGAACAATAATTTGATCTGATTAAACTTAATTCAACTCTGCTACAAAATATTTACTATGTGCCAGAGACATGCTAGATTCCAGAGATATAAAGCAGAACAAGGTACAAATGAGTGGCTCCTCCTCTAGCTCAGCCAATCTTCTTATTTATAGCTATCTATAGGACAACACAGTCAACAGAAATATACTGAACACATACTCATGCCAACGAGCTTGGCATGGCCTGGGAATTCAGCCTCCACCGAGCTTTCATTTTTGTGGGGAGTAGAGACAGGTGAAGAGTCATTTGTAATCAAGTTTATTGGGTGAGGGAGGAAAGAGTGTTTTAGAAAGAAGGAAGAGTGTCATGTCCTTGAATTCACAGACCATGTCTATCTTGTTCCCTTGAAATCCCTAGTACCTAGTTCTAGCACATAGTATGCATTCTAAAATACCCTGAGTAATGTAAGCAAGCAAGCAGGTAAAAATTCTTACAGTATGTGGCATAAGACAGAAGTGAGGCGAGGGACCTAAGAAGGCAGATACCATGAGACCTGCCCACATTCCTTTAGGTCTTAGGCACATAGAATGGAAGCTACTTTGTCTTCAGTGGACTAAGCTTTAATCATCTTCACTGGCAACTGTCTTGACAAGATACCCCTTATTGGCTGACTTCTCTTCTGCATCTCATTTCCCTACTTCTCTCCCAGTGCTTCCATCATGGTTTCAAATCCTTATTTCTGTGTCTACTTCTGGGGAACCCACTCTGAGACAAGGCCACATAATGCAAGTCCTTATCAGTCATATTAAAGAGTCTAAAGTCTATCAAATGCAATTTTGAAGTGCCATAAGAGCAGTACAATTAAAGTATTAAAAAGATTTTGTTCATGCCACTTTCAAGCCTGTTACATGAGCTCTGGGTGGAACCTCACGTTCTGCCCCCATACTAAAAACAGGAAAGAGGGTAGAAGCCCACATCTAGGGTCCTCCCCTAGATAACAGTTGCATTCCTAACTGGAAACTGAGCTTCACATATACCTTGAGGGAGGTTTGGGAATAAAGAAAAGATGTGGATGCTACCCTGACTTTTTGGAAAGTTCTCCCAACTAGATGGCTGGGATATACTTAGTACTCTAGAGGCACTTAGAGCTGGTCCTGGGTCTCCTGAAGAGCCTCATGTACAATGACAGAGACTGATGCTCTGGCCACAGTAACACGCAGGCTACCCTGGACCCTGATGCTCAGGAGGATGGGTCTGTACACTAATACAGTGACTAAATACAACTGATTGCTCTAGACCTTCCTAATGGGCTGGTCACAATCACAATTCCCAACCTACCAAGTATCTCAGACAGATCCACTGTTCCAGAGCTTTCACCCTGGAGGGTAAACAGATGACCATGGTGGAGGGTAAACAGATGACCATGGACTGCAGATCACCTAGTCTTACCAACTAGTCCCAGTACTTCCAGCATCCCAGGGAGGTCAGGAGGAGATCATTTGCAGGGCCTAGAGTACTGCCTTCTACCTAGCCATATGACATACTTCTATCTGATAAAACACTAGCTTTGTAAGAATCCACATATTATTTCCAACTTACAACTCCAGCCACTGAATGGACCAACACCTAATGTTCATGTGACCACCACCAGTTCTTAATTTATAATCAACGTCAATGACCCGAGACCTTTTGATTATGACTGCTAATGAAAATGCTATATATGTCTTATATTTCTTTGCCCATTCTTTCTAAAATTAATTTCAGCATGAAGAAAGGTGTAACATTAAAAATTTTCTACTTTTAACTTATTACACATAAATATATATATCAGAATTCTAATTACTTTGAGACTGTCACAAAGACAGACTTTTAAATAAAAACAATTTTATTTTCTCATATCTGTATTTAGTTGTGATCAACTATAAATTGTTCTCTTAAAAATATGATTCTTTCCTTTCTTTTCTTTCTGTCTTAATTTAGATGGAATGCTTCATAAGTCTGTGTGCCATTCTTGTGCAGGGGGCCATGCTAATCTTCTCTCTATTTTTTCAATTTTAGTATGTGTGCTGCCAAAGCGAGCACTGACTGATCACTGGCTTTCATAAGTGCTATATGTAAGAACATACACACATACACAGAGAGAGAGAGAGAGAGAGAGAGAGAGAGAGAGAGAAGCAGAGACACAGGCAGAGGGAGAAGCAGGCTCCATGCCGGAAGCCTGACGTGGGACTCGATCCTGGGACTCCAGGATCGCGCCCTGGGCCAAAGGCAGGCGCCAAACCGCTGAGCCACCCAGGGATCCTCAATATTTACAATTTGAAAACATACAGCCCTCTGTTCTCTACCCTATAGGGATTGAGGGAAAAACAGTTTTGGCAGCTATATACTGATGTACCAACTCTACATTTGTAAATTCATATGAAAAATTATAAAGAGATAAGCAATGATTTGACTAAGAATACATATAACATTCTTGCATATGGTATCAAAAACTTGGGAAGAACCTAAATATTAGTTAATACAGATTGGTAAAATTAATGTTGGGAGTCTATCAATATTCTTTTCAGCCCTTAAGAATATTATTGATGAATATTTATTGACATTAGGGAAAAATTTATTGTTCATTTCTTAAAAATAGGTCATAAGATGGTATATAAAGTAAGTTTGAATGCTTATAAAATAAAATTATATGTATCTATATACATAAGATGTAATTCTAAGGCTACACACTGAAGAAATAACATGGCTTATCTTTGGGTGGTGGATACTAGGGGTTCTTCTAAAAAAATTGTCTTCTCTTTTCTTATCTTTTTTTTTTTCACTTTTTTTTAACACGAATGAAGGTCACAGTAAAAAAAAAAATAGCTATGGTACAGATTACAAAGGGTCTTTAATGCCCTATGAAGGACCTAAAATTTTATTCTGGATGTAACAAAAATATTCCAGGTTTTTAAAGAAGGGAAGCAAAATGGTCATGAATACGTGGAAGATATCCAACAGCTAATACCAAAGTTTCTCTAACCTAAGAGACTAATTTTTTTTGTATAAAGTTTTAGATAACTATTTCAAAGTGGAAGATAAAGTCCTAAAGATTGGCCTAAAAAAGAATAAGTAAACACTATAGAAACAAAACCACTCTGTATTAGAAATGATCAGGAATGTAAAGGTAAGGGATATCACAGTAGACAGGAGGAATAGTGAGACAAGAAAAGAGAGAAAAGGAGAAATATTAGAGAATATGATAGAAGGCCAAGATTGCATAAAATCATGTTCAGTGAGAAGTTTCCAGTTTTGGGAGGCTGAAGTAATTTTTAGCACAGAAATATCAAACACTGCATTCTTAGTTGGTTCCAATGCTGCAATAGAAACCTGCTCCATCACCTATACCTTCAGTAGAGTCCAAGTTCATACAGCTCAGCATGGAGGTGTTTAAAGAATAAAGTGTTGGAGCCAAAAAGGCCAGTGGGTGTTATTCAGAGAGACCTGAATCATTGCTCCATTTTTTTATTTCTATGGGAACTTGGGCAAAAGACTTAGGGAGATGCTGTTTTCCGAGTTAACATTTGATAACTGCTCCACAAAAATGCTAGCAATTATTATTTATTGACTGCTAACCACATGCCAAGAAGTATTCTAAGGGACGTTACAGGTATCTCTTCACTTAATCTTCAAGATAACCCTGCAAATCCAGGTATAAACCATTTTATTTATACCCTCAACATGCCTCAGGTGAGAAAACTAAGGCACATTTGAAGGTAAATGACTTATTTGAGGTCATGGAGCTTGAAAGTGAAGAAGCTGGAATTTAAACCAGTTATTCTTGTTCCAGAGAATGTACTTCCATCCACGCATGTTCTACTGCTCCTCAGAGGCTGGTCACAAGGTAGGGAGAACTAAAAAAGACGATGTATGCTAAACCCAGCACTGTGACTGGCACAGATAAAGATGCTCAGCAAATTTTATCTTTTTTTTTCTTGAATTCATTCTGTATTTATAAAACTTGCTCAACGAAAAAGTCAAGGGGTTTCTGTCAAAAGTCTTTAAGCTTGTGTACAGTATTATTTATTATATTTTCCTGACCAGAAAATAAAAGAATTCCACGAAACAAGGAAAGAGGAGATTAGATATATCTAATCCCTTCAAATAAACTCTGCTTTCTTTTCTGTTCTGTTTTAGGATTTTATTTAAAATGGAGCCTGTTGAGTTTTAATGAACATATTTCTCTGTAGCCCATTGAGTTCTAATTCATATATTTATCAAAGTAGAGTAATATACCGTAGTTCATTTGCTCCTCAGGGCAAGATCAATAAGACATTTTTCACTTCATTTTGGTGAATGGAGAAACTGAGACTCAGAAAACTCAATGCCTTCATCAAGACTATATGTGTGGCAAGGCAAGGGGTTGTATTAAAAGTTGGGATATCTGGTTCAAGTCCAGGGCATAACTGGCAGGACCAACATTTTTTTTTTTTTACAACTGTCATGGTCAGCTAAATATATACATATGTAGAGAGAGAGATATCTATCAATCTACCCAAGAGATGACAAAATACAGTATGCAATAAAATTTTTTCTTCTAGATATGCAGTATATGTGTACAAAAAAAATCAGGCAAATTTTCTACATGTAACAATAAATATCAAAATAAAATATTTTTGGACTGTTTTTATCCAGTTACTGGGCGTCCAATTATTGATGTCGTTGCTTTCATTCATTAGGGTAAATAATTAAGAAAGACTGCACTTAGAATTGCCCACATAAAATAATTACTATATATAAAATAACTATCTTAAAACAGAAAGAAAACCAAAGCTGTATAAATAAAAAAAAAGGCCTAGACAATTAAATTTTATGATAGTATTTTTTTTTCTCCTAACCACTAACAGTCCTATTGAGCTGAAATCTGAAAATATTTAGAATTCTTACTTAAATATAGTTAAAAGCATGAACAAATCTCTGTAGCAAATAGACTTTCCTTGTCGGCAGAGTCACTTAATAGCTGACAAATAGTTTCTATTAGGCCCTCTCTTAATTGGTACTTGAACTTTCTGTCTTAAGTTGATTTGGCTTCTGTCATCCTTTCTGTCTTATCAACTGAAATGTCCAACTCCCTTAAAGTTTCCTATACCTTGCACACGCTTTACGTGTTTATGTTACAGCTTTTGGACATTTCCTCCTGGTTCTTGATTGAGGCATTGGCTGTGTTATTTGTCACAAATAAATTAGCTCTGAAATGCGCATGTACCAAGATATTTAGTTTATTCAGTCTTAAAGTCGACCCAATATCCTAAAACCCAACACACACATTCCACAACCTGACAAACCAACAGAGTATGATACTCACGTATGTAATAATTTTATTATGGCAGATGCTGGTAGTCTTTGAAAGTAGTCTTTGATCAGTTCTGAAAATTAAACATTCATTTTACCCAGGTTGCAATAAAAGTATGGTGACCTGTATTCCTCTGCCTTCCCAAGCATCTCCAGCTGGTAAGTTGCTTAGATTTATGGACGGGCCCTTAAACTACCTCCAGGATCGTAGAGAGCCATTAAATTACCTCCAGGATTGTTACCTACCACTCTTTGCTTCAGCTAGACTACTGCTTTCCAGCTCAGAGCAACCTGTCCTGCTTTCCATTTCTCTCGTCTGTCCAGCTGAAGGACAGCTTCTGATTTTCCTTGCTAGGGAGGCATCCATCAGCGCATCCAATATCTCTTCCGACATATCTACACTGCTGTGTGTGCTCAGCTAATTGAGACTTTGCCAACAGTTCATAAGGCACTTGGCCCCCAACTTACAGTTGGGTAATGTAGTGAAATAGCAGGTTAAGTGAGAAGTACATGCTAGAATTATTCAAGACTGGGTACCACACTAGGCGTGACATCAAGCTGGATGCTAAGGAAACTTTAGGCCTCTGGACTATAGCTTTATAGGAACCACCCTGTCCCTCAGAACTGGCCACTTCAGCCAATTTACCTCAGCCTGGAAAAAAAAAAAAAAAAAAAAAAAGCAACAGGCTGTTGATGTTTTTTCTTTGAATCTGTACTGAAGGAAAATGTTTAGCTGATTGGATGACTCTATTGTTAAAAACATACTCAGGGGCAGCCCCGGTGGTGCAGCGGTTTAGTGCCACCTGCAGCCCGGGGCGTGATCCTGGAGACCCTAGATCGAGCCTGCTTCTCCCTCTGCCTGTGTCTCTGCCTCTCATTCTCTCTCTGTGTCTCTATGAATAAATAAATAAAATCTTTAAAAAAAATACTCAGCTTAGTGAAAGAGCATTCTGTTTTAAGTCATTAAAAAAGCCATCACTGGAAAATACAATTACATATACATATATACGTGTGTGTGTGTATATATATAGATAAATAAATACCCATATATTATTTACCTATAAATAATTTATGAGAATCCTTCAGTTTTTAAAATAGTTTAATTTTTCTGGTTACAGAAATTCTAATGTTCAAAAATTACATCAAAATTATAAAAACCTAGGCATTCTCTCTTCAGGTGAATCAACAAAAAAAGCTGTGATATACTCTGCTCTTTAAACATTCAAAACGTTGTAACAACACATTAATTACTCAAGCAGAATCGTGTGACTTTTCCAAAATAGGCCCTTTAATGCTTTATGTATTTGTACGTATTTACCAATTAGTAAATTAAAAATAATAAAAATAACTAAAATGAGTTATGAAGTAACTCTAGTCTATCAAGTAGAAATATATTTGAATGAGTTAAATAATCCTGTGAAACCTGTAGTGAGGCTCCTGTGTGAAGAAGTGTATTTATTTTTTTGCAAGTCTGTTTTATATTCTGTACTCACTAACATTTATAATACATGACTTCCCCATGCAACAATAATTTAATGATACCTTATTCTTCTCTTGAAAAACAAAAGAAATATTATCAGGCAGTATTACAATAAGCTAAACCAATTACCTTCTAAAATGATTTTAATGCAGGCAAAATACAAGAGTCATCATTTTAGCATAGTGAGATTTATTAAGACTGCGATTCAAAGCAGTACACTATGCTTCTTATATGCTACATCGCTTCCCATTGAGTTTCAATTAATATTTTG